GTCCTTCCCGGCGATGTATCGCTGACGGTGTGCAAATAATTGTCTTTTTTTTTTTTTTTATTTGCACAATGTATTACCTTCATTCTTTTATAACTCACTCCGCACTCGTCTAAATAAGAGGATAATGTGACATATCTCTTATTGTCGACTACGGTAACTTATAATCTTCGATACGATTACCTGAATGTTGACAAATTGATTCGCTTCCTCTTCTCGAGTGACTGTGTTATTACATTACGACTGTACTCCGGGTTAAATTAGCAGCGCGCTATTATTTTTAATAATTTCCATTCTAACTCCGTCTTTGTGAAAAGAGCGTCTGGGCTCTGCGGTAAATAAATGAGCCTCGTTACGCTCGAGTAAACTTGGGTAAATAAATTGAGGAAGGTAGAGGAACACTCGGCTAAACTCGGGCATAACACAGAAGGGGTTAAGATGGCTCGTTACTGCTGAAACGAACGTAATTTTAAATTAATTCAGGATTTCTTTGTTCCTGGCAAGGTTTATGCCAGTACATTCTTTCATTTCCACAACATTGGCCTGGGTACCGTGACATTTTATACGCTTCTCACATTTGCAATAATAAAATAAAATTCTGTATACATTATGTATATGTGTGTTGCAATTAAGTGCGCTCGCGCCGACGTCTTTAATTCTCGTTACTTTGTAATTTCATCCATCTTAATTAATAGAAATAAGAAAGGAGCTATTCTACTTATTAATTGATAATTTTTCTACTTATTTTAATCTTATTTTTATTATCGCATTATTTTTACTCGCGCAAGTGAATTCATATAAGTGCTTTTATGGTGTATACAGATGTTACGAAATCTGTTTGTAAAACTAAAATTCCACGCTTGAGAGGGAAGTAACAGAGTTAAACACATAAAATATTAAAAACACAATAGCATTCGTCGGTTGCATTTCTCCTTGAAACAACATCCTTTTACGTTACTTTATAAATATATAGAGCCTGCATCTTTCTTGAAAGCATTGTTAAATAAATTATCGAGCAAGAAACTTTGCCGAACTTCGACGAAGCTCACGTTCTATCTCACGGACAGGAACGATCTTAACGAGAGCAATTTAACGTAAATTCCAAAAACTCCTCATTCAGAGCTAGATTGCAATTAAAGATTAATTCTTCTACATAGATCTTTCCATTCTTTTTAAAACAAACAGGCAACGTTAGATGTATAACAGTATCTATAAATATATATTGAATAATAATAAACATTATGTATATACATATATACATCAAAAAGAAATAAAATAATTAAAAAATATTATAGGGACATGAGAGAGAAAGAGAGCGTAATGAAGTTGAAGGTCATAAAAAAAATAAGATATGAAATGATGCAAGTAAAATTTTAAACATCAACGTAAAAATTATACATTTATAAAAAATCATTTTATTTATTTCGTACACGGAGAGATTGATTTTGTCGAAATATCTAAAAAAATTTTATTAAGATCTGAAAATAATATTATTCATTTAAAATAATTGGTGCAAAATACTTAATATAAAAAAATTCTAGCGCCCTAATTTGAATGTTTCATATAAATATTTCGATAATCAACAACAAAATTATTTTCAGATTCTGTATCTGACCTGATGTTTTTAGGTTAAACTGTTCGGTAAAATTGTTTTCGAACTTTTTTTTCCGAAGGTATCCATTCTTTGTCTCAAATATTCGTTCGTTTCGAATTAGGATGTCTGCACGATGGGATTCGATATGGCTCGGGGTCGGCGATGATGGGCTCGCGCCGATGCGAGTACTGCTACTGCATATCCGGCTCGAGGAGATGCGTCCGACCCAAGTGCCTGCTGCCTCTGCCGGGATGCACCCCTCTGTACGCACCCCACTCCTGCTGCCCGGTCGCCTATAACTGCACCCGTGAGTGTACTTTTATCACGGCGACGAGTTACTTCGCGAGTTACGTCGCGAGTTACTTAAAGTACCTTACCAATGGTCCTCCTTATTTCTTTTCAAGACCACCATTCGTCCACAATGGCGCCGGTATCGGGAAACGGTGAGTTCAAATTGTTGTCATTTACGAGCTAGTCCGCTTAACTGAATTTGAGAAAGCGGGTGACGCCGGTCGAGAAATTTCCCGGAAACTCGATAGCGCGATCGAAAGCTTCGTGTTGTAACGCGGAGGTGTTTAAATCATAGCTATTGACAAATATCAAATGAAAAATTCTATGGGAGATGTAAAAATGATGGGCGTATCCGGGAAGGAGGGTTGTGGGATTCAAACTTCTCCCGAAATTTAAAAAAAAAAAGTTAAAATTATGATTTACAAAACCTAATATTTTTTCAAAAAGAGGAATGAGGAGACATTTTCTTCAGCTTTAAAATATCCTAAAAAATAATTGATTAAAAAAATTGCTGTTTATATATTAACAGAATTGACAACCCTTCCCTCCCCCTCCCCCCCAAAAAAAATCCTGGATATGCTAAAAATATTATTTTTATTTTGGTGACGTAATGGCTAACGTGCACGCGAAGGAGATGCACGAAGAGAAAGAGAACCTTCCACTTTGATTGTATTAAAACAGGAATTTCTGTATGCAAAATACTTTCAATACACAAATTGAACGCTAATAGAGACAGCGTAATGTGATTAACGTGATGACAGCGAACAAATGCAGATTGTTTTACATACATTGGCATTGTATATGAACGAGTAAGTTATTAAAGTTCGTCCGTGGGAGTAGAAAACTTCAAGAAAATCGGGGTTATTAGGGATTATTCCGAAATTTACCGCCGCGCGACTAAAGCTCTCCGCCGAAGCACGCTCTCGAAAGTTGTGATGAAATGTGTAACTTAATAACGAAGAGTTACTGCTGACGTTATATCACCCCGTGACACTTGCCCCGCAAGGATTCTACCTTCAGATAGCCGACGAGGTTCATTTAATACTCGGTCTCATCGCCCAGCGGGTTTGAGATGTAAGTTGCAAGAAAATGCCGTAACGATGTACTATTATAATATAGCACACGTCGATATTTTAAAGCAAATGAAACCGGCAAACCGTCCGAAAGATAAAACTCATATATTAATTAACAATCTTGATTAGGAAATTTCATCGATAACTCGACATTTCAATCTTGTAATAAAGTTTGAAGTATAATTTTCATTTATAATAGCTTAAGAAAATTAACATTTTTTTTTTTTCTTAATCTTTCTTATAATAAAAGTTCACGCAAGAAGACGCGATTAAAATTTTTTATTTTTTATTTAATTTTAAATCGTTTATAAAATTTTTAATTTATAATTTTCTTTGCCTCAAGATCGAAACGATTCTTTTTCTCAATTCCGTTGATATTTGCAATTCGGAAAAAAAAACGTGCGATGATCTTGGAAACTTAGACTTGTATACCAGAGCGGCCGGTATTCCCACGGGCGAGGCACCGAGGACTCGTCTCTGGATTCCCTCGTTATGGGGTCCAACAGCTATAGAGAAACGTGTAACGCGATAAAGAAGAGTCAGTGGGTACCCCCCCCCCTCCCCGACACTTTGCTTCGGAGGGAAACTGCGAGCCGGCGGCTTTGGATAGCCGAGGTTGCCGTTCATTTAACGCCCGGTTTCACCGGTGGCCGCTTAAATTTAAGCTGGGCTTAAGCCTCGGTCGCTACGACGACGCCACGGCTGTCACTGGCTGCCGGGACATTCGGGGATGGCTTAATTTTAAACGGGCACCACCGGAAACCGCCTCGTCAGGTGGAGCGATTGCGGCCTTGCCGTCGCGATGACTGACCATGAAGTCAGTAAATAACGATTCGGAACCATGGCGGCTCGTTAATCCTTCCAAGAGCAAACATCCTCCGAGATCGCCGGGGACGGGGGTTATTACAGACTAACACGGCGACGTTATCAAAAGAGTAACGTTATGCCAAGTTGTACGTTATACCTCCTCCAGCTCTACTCAAACAAGATAAAACTTTCAAGAGAAGATAGAAATACGCGATCCTGCCTGTTATATTTCTACGATGCGTTAGACTTAAAATTGATCTCGAAAAAGTAGTTTCTCCCCTAGGAGGGAATAATCCCAAGAATAATTAGACTACAATTTTACGGATTATTTCCTTCCGAGATTCACGCGGAAACACGCGTGCTCCCAGAGAGCATTTTAAACATGGACAGCGACCCACGTCACATATCTCTCTGCTCTCTCTCTCCCTCTCGCGTCATCGAGTCTCCAGAAAATTTGGATACCGATATCCGGCTATTCGGACGATATATCCGGATATCCGGATTCCGGATTCCGCGCGACACAACAGGACATTTGAGAAATTACTTTTTAAGGTTCGACTTTTTACTCTCGCGCATTCTCACGACTCTCACGATCATATCATGATATCGTCCAGGATGTCGCGTGGGCGAGCGCACTTACATCGAGGGCGAGATGGTCCGCGACATCGAGTGGAAGGCCGCATGCGACAATTGTTTCTGCGCGATGGGCGCCATACGGTGCGTCCCGCTCGCGTGCGCCCCCCCTCTTCAAGGCTGCAGCCCGATCGTGCGAGAAGGACAATGCTGCCCGTCCACCTACAACTGCAGTGAGTTTTTCACGCAAATTCGCACACCGGGGATTGTCCCCCGGAGCTCATGCTCTTCACGCCCGGATTGTGTTTTCCACCGAATTAATCGGCGAAATTCCTTGGCCCTTGCCTTTCATATTCAGCCATATTTTCGAATATCAGACAGGGGGCAAAAAAATGCGATATCGGAAAATGTTGACGTACGAGATACGAGGTTAATATCGCGATGTAATATTCCGATGGCGGACGTTTCCACCAAAAAATTTACAGTAAAATAAATAAAGGAAAGTGAGGGCAAACAATTGCATCGCGATTGAAAAAAAAAAAAAAAAAAAA